CCTGAACCAACCATACAAAATTCAACTGTAACTAAGATTCAACATGTTTAAGCTAAAAGCCACTTTTGAACATCAATTAATATGAATGAAAATAGATAAAGCAAGCAAATGTTGAAAAAGAGAAATCAATTTGATTGGCCCCATGGATTTCACTTTTCAATTAAGGCCAGAAAATTATGAGTCAAAGGAAACACTCAAACCACTGCTCATCGGCAGAATGTTATTCAAGGTTTTGCATTTCAATTCGAATCAATTTAGTTGGGGTCGGAGAAAAGAGGGTAAAGCACCCAGAACTGGCAGTAGCAACTTGAATTGCCTGTCATTCATCAGAGGGCAAATACGAAATGGAATTTAATGATATTATATGTATATTCTCGCATTGTCTGTTTGCTTATGTACTGTTGCTGTTGTCAACGTCAATGACATGCAATTATTTTCACATTAAAACTCATTTCCGTTATTGTAACTGAAGCGAGACATTAACGGTTGGGTGAAGCATCTATGGCTTTGTATGAGAGCAATTAGTGTTGCCAACAATCTATTTCGAGAACAGGATATGTTGTCCTTGGTAGACACTGTAAATAAGGAATAGGTCTTAGATATTTACACAAGTCTCCCAATTGTTTTATAATAATAATAATATATGTTCTAATAATTGGCCAATAAGCAAATTCGTTTACAAACTGTTAAATGATTAATACATAAAGACAAGAACGCAAGTATTTTGAAGTCAATTGACAACTTGAATATATTTATTTAAGTTTATTACTTTGTTTTGGGCCCATTTGAGGTAAAACGCACAAAAAGACAAAGATCGGCCGGGTCCCGTGAAAAAGTTTGAAGATGCAGCTTTGGAGACTCTGTTGGATGAAGATTCTTGTCAGACACAACAAGAATCCATCACTGAGCTCTCTATTTTGAATAATCAGTATGTAGCTATTTTTACGCAATAAAGCCTCAAACTATGAAAAAAACGGCGGTTTTCTACTTGTACACCTAATATTAAAATCGGAAAACGATATCATATAGCTGCCATTGGAACTATCAAATTATTGAGCTGCAAATCATCATAGCTTCAATGTAAACATACACGCAAGTCAATCATAATTTTAATGTTTTCAAGAATATTTAATTTTTGCAATAGCTGCAAGGATATATGAACATCGGCTTGCCCAAGTTTGCTTCCTTTCTTGTTTGTTTTATTTTTAAGAAAATTGGAGATAACACATCTGCTTATATTCAGTTAAAAAATCCTACTTAACTTTCGTTTTAAGAAATAAATTCCTAAGAAGTTGCGGTCCACCAAGGATAGTCCCCAAATTTCATGTCAATTTATTTAAATGTATATTATATCGATATTTTTGCATCGAAGTCCGTTCAGCTTGTAAAGGAACGATCCAAATAGATAAATTGGCAGCACTGATGACCAAGTCGGCTAATTGGCAGTGTTGGCATCGTTGGCAGCGTCGACAATCAATACTCCATTCGGTCAGTTGTTGCGACTCTCCACTCGTCATTCGCCACTCTTATGCAAATTCGAGATGCAGTCCTCCCCTTTTCTGTCCCGCTGTTGGCATAGCATAATTAAAGGGATATGTGTGGGTGGTGGCCCGAATGATAGCCCCATCGTATGCTAGTGTGTGGCTTCATGGCCATATTAAAATTATTACTGTGTGCACTGGTCAAATGAGAAAAGTTGGCGAAATATTGCATTTTAAGTTGAAGGATTCGGGAAACTTTAATATTTACAATCAATTTAAAATTCGAGCAAACACTTACATCAGTGTTGTGGCGGAAAGTAATTGTCCTGCCGGGCCATTCCCTTAAGGTCATTAATTCATTCGGCGACAGCTGCGAAAAGTGAAAATCGTCTTTCGCCGGTGAAATTAACATACTGACCAGCAAGTGGGAAAATTTAATTAAAGTACAAAATGATTGTAAATGCGAGCTGCTTTACTATCATTTGCATCGAGTGGAATATAAATGTTGCCATTTCATTCCGATCTTATTGACCATTAAGCAGGTCGGACAACGTTTTCATTTGGTGACCCTATATTGGCTCTTTTTTATTATTATTGTGAGTATTGTTTATTGTGCCGGCTAATGTGGCATAGTCTAGACACTTTTAATATATCTAAATTCTTCAGCAGGGGGTTTCGGTAGGCCAGTTCAGGCTGTGTTAAAGCTGAAAACCATTCGCAACGCTCATACGCCGCGTTGGCCACATAAATCTTTCGCCCTCGTGCGATACCAACTATGTGCGTGTCTGGGTATGTGCACATTAAAAGTTTGCCAAAGAGCTTATGGCACCATTTGTAAAAGCGATTTTTAATGCTGCTGTGAGATCCACACACAAGAGGGTGTGAAAGAGTGGAAAGCTCCCTCCAATGCCATGGCCAGCATCTAATGGCTTTCCACGCATTACAGGAAAAACTTTTTTAATGAGAGCGCTTCGTGCCAATACCCTTTGCCAACATACGATATGATAGTATCAGAGCCCGAGACGTGCTATTTGAAATAATATTTCCGTGGCATATAACTTTTATTATCCATGAATTTCGGATGTTTCTCAAAAGACACATTTAAACATTTATTATATAAGGAAATTATATATTTTTTTGACCAAATTAACCTGGATATCGGTTATTTGTATGGACTTTCAAATTTAGCTCGGAAGAATATAATACTTTTGAAATTTCAATAATAAAATAAAATTGATATTATTGTGGCAGCAATTTAACATAAAAATACGTCAGCTAAAGCAGGTTTATTAAAAAATTATCCAAATACCAGCTACTTAAGCTGTTTAAACTGTCGTCTATTAGGAGTACACAAAGTTCGAAGTACAAGAAATGTAATCATTCGAGTCGCCTTTCGACATCGCTTAGTGTCATTTAAATTGTTGCTCGGCTTGGCAGCTCATGGCATTTCCCGCGGGAAGAGCTGGGGGTTGAGTAATTAGTTGACGCGCATTATATCGCAATGATTTTGTCACGGCCTGACATTGAGCGGCTTCGGCTTTCGTCCGCTTTGCAGTTACCCCAACATGGTAAGTATTATATGAAACGGCTTAAAAAGTTTCCATTGCAACTGAAAATCGTTTTGGCCATTTTTCTGGAAATTGACTAGAAAACTTATTGGTATTCTATTTGAGCCTACGCTCAGTTTGACTTTTAATTGCAAATTTGTGCATTTAAATTGCAGCATATCTGAAATTAAATCAAACACTGCCTTTGATTGTTTGCAAATAATATACACATGTTTTGTTCCTAAACTCAAATTTATAGTTTCTTGTTAGAAAGTGATTACATTTTTGTGAAAGCAAATAAAACATGTCAGACAATTTTCGCATTTAGCCGGTTTTAGTAGATCATTATCGCTTTCTAACTTTGATATTCATTTTAAATTTTAATTTTGTATTTATAGAAGATATGAAAAAGCTTCTTCCAAGTTGGCATAAATTAATTGCTATTTTATATAAGAGCATATAATCATTTTTAAATTCTTCCATTTTCAAATTACTTTTTAAAACATTAAGTTTGAAAATTTTTATCAAACCCTTTCTTTTTGTATAGGGTGTTCAATAACATGGAGTAATTTAATAGTTAATTAATTAAACACACACGAGCCGATTGTACTTTGATATTTATTTTTACGTGCACTATTTATTTTTATTTTGAGACTTAAAAAGTTTTATTGTTATTAAAACCTAACCAACAATATATCAGATTTGCAATTCTGCAGCATTATATCCTGCCGCATACAACCGGTGTGATTCGTCACTATGTGATCAACCATCATTTATTGTGAAAATGGGTGAAAGAGAAAAAATCTTTAAACGATGGAATTGCCATTAAACGATAATTTTTCAGAATTATTTCAATGGCTTATTTTAATGCCATTAATGAAAATGTTTGCTTCATTTATGCCTGAGGCCAGATAGCCATTTAAATCAGCTGTTGCATCAAGATCGCCACCGGACTTGCCGCCAATAACACCGTCGGCCAATGAGCACGCATTACTGTCAATCAGGCGTGTAATTAACGCGGCTAAATGGACAACAGCCAACCAGTAACAACAATGCCAACAGCCAGTGACAAACGGGAGCCATAAATATGGCAAATCGGTATGGCAATGATTTGATTAGATCGGCCGAGCCATGTGATTTCCCCTGCAAAGCACAGAGAAAAACGAACTGAAATAATATATTTTATTAATATTGAATTCAATTATTAGTACATTTAAATACAAATGAAGAAGATCCAAAGAAAATATTTTAAAATGCTTAGCTATTACATTAAAGTGTGATATTTTACCATTAAAATTTATGTTTATTTGTTACCAAATGCTTGTATTGTATTGTAGAACATTTTTACCGAGTGTGGGTTTTGGCCTGCACTGGAACGTCAATGCAAATGCGACAAATTTCTGACAGCTCGAACGTCAGCGACATCATCAACGCGAAGTAATTAGCATTTAGCAGGCTGAGCGAATGTCGAGCGATGGGTTCGCGTTCACGGTGAGATTTGGATTTGGATTCGGGTTCGGTTTCGGATTCGGTTTTGGCTTGGGTGCCATAACATGTATATTAGCCGGGGGCCAAAACGTTTGTAGCTATTTGGCAGTTGACAGCGGCTTTCAGTGTCAGTTTCTGTTTCGGCGGCGCCAAGCAATTAATTAAATGCTGCTAATGAATCCGAATTCCGCTTTTGCGGTAGACACTAGAATGTGTTTGCTTGCAGGAAGGGAAAGCCGTTTTAGAAGTTTGACAAGTAAAGTATTCTGATTGTGCTGGAGGGGCGACACCTGGCCTAAAATTTAGCTGTTTGAGATGAACTTTCTTGTTTTTGACAGCTCTATTGCACTGAATATTTTATCTAAATATGAATTTTAAGATTTATTTACAGCTAAGAAACCATTAAACGCTTGACCATGTTGGTATAATTCAAATTAATTTTTGAGTACCTACCATAATAACAACTTTGTGTTAAACAAATTAGTTTCAAACAAAAGTGGTATTGTATTTATAAATTGTAATTACATTCTACAAGTTTGTGTAAATCCCTTAGGAACTATAAAAACTATTTTGATTAATTGGAAGATTGAAAGAAATTTCTTAAAAATAATTATCATTTAATGTTCAAGTTTCCACTGCACCCACTATAATTCCGCCACAAAGGTGTTCATTTAAAATAGATAACCTGACTTGGCAAAATGCTAACAGATGTTAGTGCCTCGATGGTCAAAAATGTTCACTCCTATGCATTCATAAATTATTTAAGATCCATCAACATTTGAAATCTTCGAATATTTTGTGTGAGTTTCATGCTTCAACAGTCGCTTTAAATAATACCGCATAGAGTTCACTCATTATCTCAGTGTGTGTCGTATCTTATTTATTTTATGCTCTGACTTGGCCTTTGAATGGTTGCTTATCTAATCTAGTGAGGTTGATTCCTACCGCCGGACGTGGCGCGGGAATGGAGTGATCGTGGGCAAAGGACCACGTCGTGGTCGGACGGTGCTGGTGAGGAAGTAGTTGGAGAACCGGGACTGGAAGCCGCTCCTCAAAGCGGAAACTGGGGCAGGCAGAACCGCCGGAGGTGGTTGAGCCGAGTACTGTGGGCGGGGTGCTGGGGCTGGTTGAACCGAGTACTGGGGACGGGGAACAGCCGGAAGTGTGACCTTGGGGGTAGAGGGTGTAGCGACCTTGATCGCAGGCTTGGGCGTGGTCTTCACCACCGACTGAGGCTTGTCCTCCGCTGGCTTGGCATCATCCTCGAAGGGTGGCAGCAGATCGAGAGGGAGGTCCTGCACGTCCTGCTTGCCGGCAATGGACTTCGATTTATCCTCCTTGGCCAGCTGAGCTGGCTTCTGGTAATACGATTTTTTGGTGGGCTTTGTGGCCAACGTTGTGACTGGCCTTGCAGTTGTCGTGGTTGTCGTGGTTGTCGTTGTGGTGCTCGGTTCATCCTGGAGGGGTGGCAGTAAGTCGTTGAATGGCAGGGCAACCTTATCCGCCTTTATTTCCGACACATCAGCTCCGCAGAAGCCGATCAATAATGCCAATGCAATGAAAGACTGAAATGAAATTGGAGGAATTGTTATATAATAGCTTTTGACTTAATATATTATAAATTAATGCATATGTTAAGGTACCACTAAGATGCATTCTCAAACAAAAATAAAAAATGTTTGAACGAGTTAATTAACCTTTTTAAAAATGCAAACATTTTTTTACTATTTTTGAGGTTGTTTAAACATTAATGAGCATCTGAAAATATATATGCCTGATAAAAAATGTTCGACTTACTTAATCTAAATTTCATTTAAACTTACAAAAAATAGTGAGAAAAAAAGGTTACCTTGGCCAATAACTTTATTTGATTTGCCAACCAATTTCGCTTGTATCTCTTAAGTTATGGCCCTATTGTTTTATTTGGTCGCAGACATTCCAAAAGTGTTTCAATTTCCAAAATTTGGTTAAGTTTTTGCTCTGGAAGTGTGGGCGCTATAAAAATATTCCCATCCGAATTATGTTGACCTTCGAATCGGCAAAAGCCTTGCATTGTTCGGCACATGCCAAAACTGGATTAGTTTATTGCCAGTTCTATTCGCGTTCATATTCTAACGGAAACGTTCCTTTCTCTTGTGGGAAAGGTCGTTAGACCTTCTCAGGCAATGATTAACTTAGCAGCTATAATGAAACTAATCGAGCTTGAAATTTATGCAAAGAAGAAATTATAAGTCATCTTATGGTCATGGCTCGCAGTTTCACACCTCAAATAATAAAGCAATTTATTTTACCGAACGAAAATATGTAAAGTAGCCAACGTCAGTTCACAAGTTTTTTTTTATTTCGGTGGTTGTTTAATCAACTATTTAATTGGCAATGTATTCAAACATTTGATTTGCTCATAATGTTAATTTCTGTTCAGAACCGATTGCATATTGTAATTTATGCAGCAAACTGGAATTTCACTAGTGATGCTTACGCAAATAGCTAATTAGAACAAATTTGCTGCATTCCTAAAAAGTCCGTTTCAGGAAAGACCAGCTTTCATATCCATTTGGAGCAATTAAGAATTCACTTTTATACAGAAAAGTAGTCAACTTACGTATTTGGGTGACATATTTGCTAGGGATCCTATTATTTTAAGTGGGAAGAACACAGGAGTCCCGAACCGATCACTTTGAAATTTAATAACGAACTAAAAGCGTCGTTGAGCATGCGCAGCACTTTTATAGTCGATGGGACCAATCCATTTCCAAGCTGAAACGAGATAGAAGTTACACGAACTTGCTGCACAGTGTAAAGTTTAATAACCGGATTAAGTCGGGGGTATTGTTTTATTTGTATTTTGCTTAGCATGGAAGATGAGCACGAGAGCGATGGTGCTCTGGGTGCCTGGGTCTCTCTGTCCAATTAAGTGGTTTCTTCAACGATTATCACTTCTTGGGTTTCGGTAGAATGCAGCAGCAGCAAAAGGCACTGAAACAGCTGACTAGCCGCTGAACTTGTGGGGTTCACGGTCGCAGCCTGTGGATACAGCATCTCGAATCTCACTTTTCGGATCTGGTTCTTGTGGGTTGACACACACCTGCGGACTTTTAACATTGTTTCGGGGAGAGCGAATGTAATTATTAACATTTTTGTCAGCTTGCATAAATTGTGATAAAAGGCGAAGCTGGTTTGGGCCACTTCCTCATACAAGAGGGTGTATGCCCGTGTTCGGGGATTGATTTTATTTCCAATTCTTAATTGGATTTAATAGTATTCGCACAGTGTCAACCTGTTATTTTTCTATTCAGTGGAACGCCCTCATTTGCATTTAAATCGTGGGGGGATTCTTTAATGGAGTGAAAGCAAATTAGTGCAAATTACAAGTGCCCCGATACCAGATCAGCATCTCCGTCATCAAAGCCCAGAATTTGATTGGGCCCTTTACTCGCTGTTGGCTTTATTACCTCAATTTCAGTTGATACATCTCCAATTTATGCAAATTATGTGAGCGTTGATTCCTAACGCCAAGACTTTTTGTGCGTGCGAAGGCTCATAAATTATTAGCCGCATTAGAGGCAACCGGATTTCTCGGGCTTTGTTTTGTTCGGTTTGGTTCGACGAGATTAATTGCTCAGCAGCCCATTGTTAAGATCCGTGTGGTATTTTTTGATAAGCGTTGGCAAATAGTTTAAACTTTGTATTCTGCTTACTGAGGTATTTGGCCTAAGTGGATTCATTTTTAAAAGATTTGTATCTCTCCAACAAATACGTGTCGTGGTGGCTTGCTTTGCAAACGTTATTTGGATCGCAAGGTATTAACAATATAATTAATCTGATTTTTTGGTTATTAACATTAAATATTTTGTGTTAGTTTTAGTGACTAGTAAATTTATAAACAAACCGGTGTTTATTTGTATGCTTTACGAAATTTGTTTTTTTTTTTTTTGGTTTTACTAGGTAAAAACAATGGCAAGTTTCAACATGTAATAAAAAAATTGGTTTTTGACCAACAAATTATTTATAAAGATATTTTATGTAGGTTCCGGGTTTTCAAAAGTCTTAAATTTATTATATAATTCATTTCCAAGCATATCAACCAAAAAACATTAATTAAAAATTAGTTTACTTTATGATCAACTTATTTATGAAAAACTAAATACTTTCTAGTTTTTTATTTAATGGTCTAATACATGTAACAGTATATTAGTATATTTTTGACTGTACCACTTTTCCATTTACCTTAATTATTGTACTGTTATTTTATTGGCAATTCACGTGCCTCAAATTCATCAAAAGCGTATTATATATGCGGCCCCAACTGAGTCCGTCTGAATTGTTCAAGTGTTTTCACTTAACCAACCCATTTTTGATGGCCCTCTCTTATATGTGGCTTACAATGGGTCGAAAAGACTTTGGCAACACAATAATTGTTAAATGCTATTGTTATTGTTAAGTAAAAAACATTGTTAGTCAAAATATTAGTTAATTTTTTAATAAATAAATGCAAATAAAAGGAGTCTTATATATGAAATTCATTTTATTTTTGCCATTCGTATTTTGATATAATTGAAAATAAAGTCATTATAAAATATTTAAAATTTAATACGCTTTAAAACCAAACAAAATAAATAATTATTTATAATAATAATAAATATAATATATAATATATCATCGTAAATAATTTTTCTTTCTTGTCATTGAATCTTCAGTACAGTATTTCAACGAGTAAAATAAAACCGGTCCATTTTAAAGCAATATTTTCTGTAGACAAACCACAGTGCGGCGTTCTTATTGTTTCAGTTGTGTTCCATGACCGACTCCATTTCGGCTCCCATAGCCTTTTCAGATATTTATTTGTATGTATTTATTTATATTTATGTGAGAGTGGGCCTGCGATAAGGGAAATTCCGAGGAGGGAATGCGGAAACCAAATATCGAACTTTGTCTGCAGGAGCGGAGTCCTTTGGGTACTCGCCCGCATTCAATTGTCGTTGTATATACATATAAATCGAAAATTTCTGTTGTTCTACCGAGAAGGCCGTCGCGTGTCAATGCGTAACATCAACCATGTTTATGGACGAAAGATATGCCATCGAAATCGAAACCCAAAAATACAAAGATGTTCTTGTAAAGCGAAATAAATCGTGTGTCAATTCATGACCCATTTTTGAGGATTTGATATGACGTCAAATGTTTTACTTACACACGAGGCAAATTGAGAATGGTTCAAATCAATTAAAGTTCTGTGTTACGTCAACAGTTGCCAAGGTCCTAAGACTGTCTGCACTTTGTAATAGACATATTTAGATATATATATTCAACTTTTAATAATTTTGTTCAAAGGGAATTATGTTTACTTAGACAACCAGTATTTTCCTCAACAAATTTTCAATACTCCTTATGATCGATACAATTTTAGCTTTAATTTTGCTTTAATTTTTCGAAGTGGTTACTACTTGTTATTTATTTGCCGGCACTTCCGGGTAAACATATGCAGAGGAAGCAGGTAGATGGGAGGCTATAATAGCCTGACCTCCCATCTATTTTAGGTAGAACATGTACGAGCACTTTTGGCCCAGCCCGAGGTCGTTTCGCCTGCCAATCTGTTTGCTCATGCCAGGGAACTTGCTGGCGGCTTTGTTTTGCTTCCAGCCTTTTTCAACGCTCTCTTTGACCGGCTTAAGCTGGAGCTTCGTCGGGAACTTGAACCGAGCTGGTCTCCTGCCCCAATGCCGTTTTGCCGTTTACAACTTCCTGGTCAGGCCTGTGGCCTTGCCTTTTGGCCTGTCGCTGGTCTTTTGTTTGCCTTTTCGTTTTCGCTTTCGCTCCTTGTTTTTATACCCAGTAGTTCAACAGTGAGGGGTATTGACCAATGGTCGAAATAAGTTTAAATAAAAAATCATTTACTCAATGTGTTCTTCGTTATCGTCTTTTAAATGGGTATAAATAAAATGTGGCTGCAAAATGTTCATAATTTATGCATATACTTACACGATCTTGCCAGTAACATATAGTGAAATATTTGACAATAATGAATATAGTGAACTTAGTTATATATAATACCTAATAGTCGGTACATCCCAGTCGCTTTATTCGACTTAAGCTGCCTACTTGTTATTTTTGGGTTTTTGTTGAGGGCTGGCCTTTATGGTTATCGCCGTTTTTTGGTTGCCTGCTTGTTGTTCTTGGCCGCAAGTTTGTTTTCGGCTGTTGCCAAGTGGAATGCACCGTCCTGCCCCTGTAATTAGCACAAAAACAAGACGGGAAGGGTGTTCTCCCACCGAGAAGCAGGATGCACCCAAAATGTTAACAACTTGAAGTTCCCGCCGAGAGTTGCTGTTGTAGTTGCTGGTGCAATTGCATGATTTGCGGGCCCGAAAGTCAAACTCAAGGCACTCGCACTGCGCGCACTCGAAAGTCATAAAGTGCAAAAATTGTTACACTCAGGCAGAAATGAATTATGAAAGTTGCAGGAACCTCCACAGATTCTTTGCCTTATTTTGCTTTTTGCTTACGCTTTTCCTCTTTCATCCCCACTTTTCACCCCCTGGTGAGCTCAGCGAAAGTTAAGTTTCGGGGAAAGTTCTGTTTGCGAGTCGAGTGCATATTATTTAATTCAATTTGAATGGGAAACTTAAAAATATTGCAAACTCGAGGACAAGCCAGCGGGTAGTCGTTGTCTTGCCCAGTTCGCAAGTTGTATTTTCATTCGATTTGAGTTCGGGTCGGTCCTTAGCTCTTCTAAGGTCGGCCGTGGCTCAAGCCTGAGTGAGTTTCAAGAGTAAAACTCGTTCTTTTGTTTGATTAACTTGTAAATTAAATGCTTAAAGCCCTTGAAGTTGATCTTAATCTTCTTCTTTGATAAAATTATAACTAAATAAAAAAATGTATAATGTCTTCCGTTTAAACCGTGGACCCAGTATTTTTAAATTTATCGTTAGAACAATTATAAATTACTAAGATGTACTGATAAAACTTAAATCGAATGTATTTGTTGAAAATGTATTGGATATTATTTTGTGCTTAAATTTGGTTTAGCTATTAATACGACTACATAAATATTTTGTTCCAACTGAACTCCATTTTTTTAAAGAATTTAGTTTTAAAGTTTAAATCTCTGATTTATCACGATTTCTCCATTCTTAAAATGTATATTCTTAAAAATATATATTCAATAGAATCAGGCTCAATTCCTCTTGGAATCTACTACAGTCTTTTGTTTGTTCTATTTCGGATTAGGCAGTATTTGTAAATTTATATATAATTGCATTTTTCATAGCATTAAAAGTAAAATTATTTACAACTATATTTTTTTTCAATTTTTAAAAACGACATGACACATTTTTTAAAATTGCTTGAAATGAAAGCCAATTATTTTATGCAAATCAGACATACATTTTATACCTGACCATCTTCAAAATTTTTTGGTGATATATGTAAATCCCAGATATTACATTTTTTATTTTACCATGTTACAACAAGTTTTGAATCCATCTGATTTTTAATAAATACATATTTACAAACCGTTTTCAAAGATGACTGTCTTGTAGTTCCAAGTAACTACTAAAACTGGAACGCTGCCTGATTTTAACGAACTTGGGCTTACTGATTAAAGTGCCCTCCAAATAACCTGAAGAACCCAAAGTATATACAATTTTCTCCTTGTCCTTTTGTAAAAATATATTAACAGGATTGTCCGATTTGTGG